GAGCAAGTCCTGGGAAGATTTTAGATTATCTGTTCTGTAACTGTAATCTGGTCAGCAAAGTTGTAGAAATGATGCAGGTTTTTTTTTCCTAGGCGAATAACTTATTTCTCTAGCATAACTCTTTTTTCAAAAGGATAAGTTTTTGGCCTTTCCTGACTCTCTACCTCAAGGGCTAGTGGACTGATTTTTATATTTGTGCTATCCTTTTGATCTTTCTGGTTTGAAAGATCCTACCAGAGTTGAAATTCCTGCTGGAATTTCAAAGCACAGGTGGTTATGTTTTGATGGGCTCACATGCAAGTGAGGTAGCTTTGAGCGAGGCTGCGGCTGCCTAGTTACAGATCTCAGACCCCAGGTAGCAAGAAAGACGGAAGTAATACTAAGGAAAAAATAATAGCTGAGAACTGTGGCCCTCTTTTCCTTCTTCTCTGTCCTCTAGCCCAGCATTTCTCAACCTGTGGGTCACAACCCAAAAGTGGGTTGCAAGAATATATGAAAGGGGGTTGTAAACAAACTTTTAAAATGGATTCTCCTTTAAAGGAGAAAAATGTGGGAAACTGGCTTTTCCCTTGCAGGCTGGCAGAGTTCCAGCCTGCAAGGTGCTCCCCTGCCCCACACACCCACCCCTTCCCCAACCCTGTGGGCCTGGGGCCTGGAGAGGGTGGGCAGTGGGTCAGGACTGGTCATCAATGTTTACAAATGGGTGCTGGTATAAAAAAGGTTGAGAACCATGGCTCTAGCTTATGAAGTTGCTTTTCCTGGCTCAGAATTGTGGCAATGGCTTCAGTAGTCCCCACTCCTTTTTTTTCCTAGAATTGGCAGGGAGACATTCTCAAGATGCAGTCACCTGCTCTTATCTCATAACATCTAGACTTGGCTTGCATCTGCTGCCTCACCCATTTACTGCAGAGAGTAAAGTGGTTCCCAGCTACATTGCTGGTCACAGGCCCACCTGCACATGATCTGTTGTTCATTTCAAAGTTTTTAACACTAAAGCTTTTTTAGAATTTTATTTTCATGAAAAACATTTCAAATTTTGTTTTGATTTTCCTGATTCAGGATGAAATAAAATAGCAAAGCGCTTTGTATGAAAAGGCTAACCCACCTCCTCCTCCCCCCCCCCTTCCTCCCCCAAAAGCTAACAATTTGTGTTTTGAAGATGGGACCTTCTTATCCGTTGCACAGCCCAGTGTACAGCAAATTTAACCAATATGTCTGCATCTTAGATTTCTTTTTTTGGAAAGATACCATATAAATTTCTGTGCCTCTTAAACGCATGCAAATAGCTTGTTCATGTGACATTCATAGATTTTTAGGGAAGGGGACGGTAATTGATTAGGGCAGAGTTTCCTGGGCTGCAGGGGGTTGGCTGCCGGATTGTGGTACTGGGCTGCGAAGGGTTGGTTGCTGGGTCGTGGCACAAGCCTCCCGGTTGGACCCCCATCTGTCTGTCCAGGTGAGTGGCTTCTGGGGTTAAAGCTGGGTGGTGGGGCAGCCCTGGGAGGAAGGCAGCTGGCTGTAACCCCCATCTTGCTCCTGCCAGTCCGTGGTATAAAAAAGGTTGGGAACCACTGGATTAGGGGAATGAGGATCATATCAGATCAGGAAAAGCAGATGAAGCTTCTGGATTGTTGGTTGTAGCCATGTTGGTCTAAGGACATAGGCAGTTAAGGTTCTTTGGTTAGGTGTGATAACTTTTATTAGACCAACTAAAGAGTTGGAAAAAAGTGGAGAGCAAAGATGGATATTTTTATTCTAAAGTCTATAGCAGGGGTGGGTAGTTATTTCGGGCAGAGGGCCGCTTACCTAGTTTTGGCAAGCTGTCAAGTGCCACATGGGTAGCCCCACCCCTTGACAGGTGCCCCACCCTCTGGTGGCCATCTTGGGACTGGAAGTCCCACCCCCTTAGCCCCAGCCTTTGCCATCCAAAGTCCATCCCCTTGCCTGTGGAAATACTCCTTTCAGTAAGGGATTTTGTCATCTCAGAACCAGAAAAATACTAAATTATATTCTAAAAATCGAACATCTACAACATTCATTAATTTGATTTTAAACAATAGTTCTGTCCTGATTTACATGTGTTTGTGTAGTATACATAGAGGTGATTGCACAGTAGCTCAAAATGAAGTCTTACTCTTGTATATTGTTGGGGGGGTATAGGTTTGTGGGGTGTGGGGTTTTTAGGGGTGCTGTAGGGAGTGTGGGTGGGGTGAGGGAGCTTGTGGGTATGGGTGGGTATGGGGTTTGTGGGGGCCTATGTGTGGGGGAGGGTGGCTGGGGTGTGTGAGGGGGTGTCGGTGTGGTGGTCTGCATGTACAGCAGTGTGCAGGGTGTTGTACATGCAAGTGTATGGGGTATGCATGTGGGACTCGCCTATGAACACACACACTCCCTCCCTCCCTCATTGCTCTCTCTGTCTCTTTCTCCCCCTCCCTCATTGCGTGGACGCACACATACACACACGCCATGGCAGGCGGAGGCTCCTGGTTGGGGGGGCCTAGGAGAGGCGGGGCAGGGATGGCCTTGCTCCTGAGTCCTGCCAGCTTCCCTTGGGTCCTACTGCCCCAGGCTCCTGTCATCTTTGACAGGCAGCCAGGAGCAGATAAAAATTAATTTTCTAAACTTTTTATGGGCCCTGTGAATTGGATAGAATGGCCCTGGCAGCCTGCAGGCCTCATATTTTGCCTGTCCCTGGCCTATAGAAACTTAGGAGCTGTTCATGGTGTCCACCTTTTACTGCAGTGGATCTTGCTCTGATGCGCTTTAGATGTGGTGCAAGACGACTTGTCCTGCTCCGTCCTAACACTGTGTTAACCCTTCTGTCACCTGCCACTTCCTTGCCTTTGTTATCAGTTAATGTTGCTGCACAGTTTTGTGCTGGTTAGCTAGTTAAATTTAAGACCCTTACTAAATAAATATAATTAGATTTGTTTATTCATAGAACAGATAATTTCATTGAGAAATAAGTTATGCTATTTATGTAATGTCACTTGCCTTTCCTTTATCACTTGATATAAATCTAATTCTGCTCTTGCGTTTCCTTATGTTACCAATGTGCAACTCCTGGTGTCAGGGGAGGCATTTTTGACTGTCATCAGGATGAGATCACTAACAGGCTCAAAATATTAAAGATTGTTTTAAAATTTCCTGTGACAATTTGCTTTCATATATAACCCAAATATAATAAAGGCCCAGACAGAGCCAACTGAAGCAGGGTGCGGGGCCCCCGCCCCCCCTCCGATCTCATGCGTCCCGGACCCAAAGAAGCTCCTGGCAGTGACAGTTCAGCGGTGAGGGGAAGGTGGGAAGTAGCGAGCAGCTGAATGCAAAGCCAGCGGCAGGGGTGCAGAGTCACCATGGCCACTGTACCCAGCTCTGCGGTGCCTGAGACAGTCGCCCTGATTTGCCCCCTCCTAGGGATGCCCCTGGGCCCAGAGGTAAAAATAATATTGATTTTTCCCAGCAAATTGTGTTGAATTTGGCACACTTGAAGTTTTGGCCAGGTTTTTTGGGGTTTTTTCCAAGTTTTAAAAAAGGGCACAAACACTAAGGAATGCCTTTGTAGCATTATAGAAGTTGAATGGACAGATGTACATGTTCCCTGTTGCTACAAAAATGTTCGTGGAAGAAGCGGGAACTTCACTGTAGTACATCGTTCTACATCGTACTGTAGTACGATGCACTGTGTGTAACAGGACAAGGAGATCTCTTGGTTTACCAGTATCCCACAATGCTTAACCATCCTTCCCTCTCTCCATCACCTCCCTCTTTCCAAGGAAGCATGAGCAAGGGAGAGTGGGGCGGACAGTTAACAGTTAATGAGAACTGCTTGGATGCTCAACTGTCATTGGAGGTGGGGGGGGGGAGCAGAGTTGTTAATTTTTCCTCCCTTTTATGCCAGTTTGTTTTTTGTGAATAAGTAAAAACCACTAAAAGCACCATCTGCCTCAGAGACCACTTCATAATCTCAGTATTGAGCCTGCAGTTCTGCTACTGGGTTAGTTTCTGTAGCGCTGTTTGTTACAATATGTAGTGGGGCACTAATGAGTAGTATGTACAAGTAGGAATGAGGAGCTTGATGAAAAGCAGCATTAAAAGACAAACACTGCATCATCTGAGAAGTTTAAACAGCTCTCCTTGGAGAATTGCTACAAGGAAGGCTGCTATGCTTGCCATGCTCCTAAAATATGGTTGGTTGGTCGAGTTCTTATGAACGTGTGGGATAGCTAAATGGAAGTAAAATAAATGGGGACATACAGACATTTCTGTAACCTGACTTGTCTTCTTCAATATTGTCATTTGTCGGTGTCTAACGTTTTGGCCAAGGAAGGGTCTATGCTCATTAATTTCAAGGCTTCTCTGCAATATATTGCAGTTCCAACAGTTTAACTAAAATATCAGGACAAATTAAAATCCTAAATTGGAGATCCACAATTTAAATAATGATGAAAGCAATTTTTGTTTTATTTCTTAAGAATTAATGACCTGTTGGTTATTTGGTTAATTGAGAATTCAGCAGTTGAAATAACAGCCTTTGTATTTCATAGTTATATCTATCATAGCTTTCAGTCAGCTATCTTGGGCTTTCCTCCTCCCCTCCTTGTGTTTTAAGCCTCTTTGGACAGGAAATCTGTACTGTGAACCCTACAAACCCTCTCTCAAATCTTTAGTATAGTTCTAAGTCGTTTTTATTGTTCATTAATTATTGAATCGGACGTACTTAGTTACCTAATAACTAAGCCAGATAGACATTTTAATATTTTAAAAATGTCTTACTTGAGCACGTTTATCTTTTTGGTTTTGGTACTTTACATTCTTGATTAGTTCATATGTTTGCTGTTTTCTATGATGCTCATAAAACTGGTTAGAACTTGTTTGAGAAACTTTTACTTCCCCAGTGCTACATAAATAAATACACTTTCTGAAATTCTTACTAGCCATATAAATAAACTTAAGATTATTCAAATATTTTATTGACCTTGTTGTCTTTTTCTTGACAGGTATCCAGTCTTGCTAATGTGTTGGCATAAACTAATTAAAAAGTCATCTGAATTGCATCATGGTTCTCAGCAATGGTGACTGATAGCATTACAGTGGCACCATGGGCATCTATTAGACCAAACATCAGAAGTTTATATTTTCTTCACTTTGGAAATGGTAGGAAAAAAATCTAACTTTTTTTTACTAAAAGTAATGGATTTCAGCACTGCAGTTTAAGATTTTGTTTTTGCTTATTTTTAAAAAGTTATACAATAATAGAGAGATACAGTATTGTATCGGAGGCATCGCTCGTCATTAATATCCATTGAGTTTGGCAACTAATACTTGGCAAAATGTTTGCAAAACTTGAATTTGGAACTGGGACTTAGTTTGAAATACCAGTTGCCAGTTCTGATGTAGTAACATTACCCAAGTAAACTTAAATAAGACTCCTTATTTGAAAAACACTGCCAGCGTGAATTACATTTGAGTTTAGTTGTAAATGATTGTCGCAGGAGGAGCAGGTGGTAACTTACATTGTTCAACATTTTCTAATAAAAAGGGAATATTGAAACCTTTCTTCTTTGAGAAGCTCTCACTCTACTTCTGTCTGCAGTAGGACAGTGGTGCTCAACCTTTTCGTCCTGTGGGCCAGATGAATGGCATAGGGTTGTTCCCTGGGCTGGAATGAGTCCCACGTCTTCTTGGGTCCTGGCACCACTTCCTCTGGCCCCTGCCCAGCAGGGTGGGGCTCTGAGGGCTCGGCACTACCTCCTCACACTGGGATTGGGCCCTGGGGACCTGGTACTAGCCCCTCCTGGCTCCCCGCACCAGGACTGGGTCCTGGGTCTTGGCATTGCCCCTGCTCAGCCCTGCATGCTGGGATCAGAGCCCTGCAAGTGTATGGAAAATTGGCAGCAGGAGAGCAGTGCCAAATTTCTGGACCTATGGGGAGCCTCATGGGTTGAATGCCATGGTGCTGTGGGCTGGATCTCACCTATGGGCTGAGGGTTGAGCACTCCTACAGTGGGACATAGGCATTCAACATAGAGTACAAGTTCCAGGCTAGTGAGCATAGAGGCAGGACTGACAGCAACCTCTTGGGTCATGAGTCGCAGCTCCTGCTATTTTCGGCACATTACATTATCTCTTTGATAAACTTAGCGAGCTCCATTTTAAAACCAGTTAGGTTCTAGAACAGCTTTCCAATATTTTTATTAGGAGCAATAAACCTGATTGCTCTAATACTGTATTTTCATGCATATATGAAATGTCCAGAGATTCAGCAGCAGGGAAGAGGTGGCTGTGTTAATTGCTGTGCATGGCAATTAGTGCTTCCACTGCTCCCCTATTGACACATCTCTAGACCCCTGGGGAGCCTCCCAGCCAGTTGACTTGGCACCGCATGCCGGATCAGGCCAGCACATGGGCGAATCTGCATCTGAACCCGCTTTGTGGTCCCAGCCCTGGCATACTGGATTTAACCCAACTGTACAATCCCAGCCCTGGTGTGCCATGCAGCCCCATCCTTTCTGCACTAGATTGGGCTGGCGCAGAGGGTCAGACCCAGCATTTGGCCACAGACCCAAAGACCCCAGACCTCGGGAACTTACCCATGCTCCAAGATGAGATTTTTTTTTTTTTTTTCCTTCTTGGAGCCTTCCAAAAACAGGGTGCATGTTGTATTCAGGGGTTTGGTATATGTGAACAAATATGGTAGCTAGGAAACTTTTCAGTCTTAAATTTATTCATAGTTTATCCCATTTATTTTTGTGTCAGTATTGTCCTTTAGCTTAAATAGTTATTTTCTCTCCCTGCTGTCTACCCTTTCTAGTCTGTTTGTAGACAGCTGTCATACTCCCTCCCTGTCTTTGTTTTGTTAAGCTAAAATAGCCAAGTCTTTCTGTCTCTTCTCATAGGACAGAATTGTACATAATTTTCCAGATGAGGGAGATGCTACTTGGCATATTTATTGTACTACTAACGCTTTCCTGGCTCTACTGGAAAAACTTCACATAATGGATGGGGTTAGGGTTGTATTTAACTTTTTCATGGTTACATCATATTGGTGACTCATTGTTATCCAGTGATTTGAGTAGCATACCGTGGTCCTTTTTGGTTAGTCATTTCCAGCTGATGCTTTCCCAGCTGATAGCTGCAGTATGTGTTGTTAGTCCCCAACAGTACATAGTGAACAGTTGAATTGTATCCTGTTTCTGTTATGCCAGTCCTCAAGGTCATTATAATAACTTGCTTCTCTTATTGATGATGCCTTCCAGCTTCGTGTCCCGAGCACGCTCCTGTTATTTGTGTCAGGATCATTAATGAAAATATTAAACAAGGTTGTTGCCTGGACTGGTCCCAAAGGAACGTTACTATTATCCAGCTTGATGCTTCAACACTTCCCAGAACCTTCACTACCCATTGGGATCTCTCTTTGAGCCAGTTTCTCTACTGAGCCTACTTTCTCCATCTTAACTAATAGTTTCTTGTCTATCTATATAACAAAAGGCTTTATTGAAGTCTGGATAAGGAACATCAACATTTCCTTTCACTAGAAAATCAGGTATCAAAGAAGACTCTTAAGTTAGTTTCCCATGACCTTTATATACCAGTGTTATATTTTCTACCATTTTCGCTTTCTTTGTCTGGGATCATTTTATTCAACATCATATTTTGTGACTAGTCACTTTGTGACTTACCAGCCACGCCAAAAATAGTATTGCTTCTTGTTAGCCTTGGTTAGCTATCACATTCAGGATTATCCAGGCCCTGTGATTGTTAGTAGCATTTGTTTTGTAGTTTGTAGCTCAGAAGCTGACCTCCAATAATGCTATAATTTCTGGTAGCATTTTTCTCCCTGATGAGAGAAAGAGAGCTGTCTTTGTTTATCCAATTTCAGCTCTGAGTCCAGTTGTGTCCATCTTCATATCTTCCACCAATAATTTAAGTTCCTAGGTTTCTGATGTTTGTTTGCAAATATTTTATTGTTTCCTACTGATTGTACTGTATACCATAGCTGGATTAGGCACAGTTTTGTCATGTACTCAAGAACTTGACTGTTCCTCATCAGTGTGAACTCTTTCTTTGTCCTTGTCCTTTTGCCCATTTGCCTTTCCTTTATTCATTGCTGTGTAGTCTTCACCTGATTTTTTTTTTTTTTTTTTTTTTCCCC